GCGCCACCTGACTTCCTCTGCAACGACTTTGGATATGTCCCAGCTTTCCACATCTCCAACACCGGATTTCTTTCTTCTCTGGTAAACTCTCCTTAAGAACTCGCCTAATTGCTTCAATTATCCTGGGTTCTTCCTTCTTTTCTTCTTCGACTCTCCTAATTCTAGGCTGGCTCCTGCAGCTCTCCTTTGCCGCCTCGAGTTCCAAAGCTAGAGCCAATGCATCAACTAGTTGGCTCGGACGAGCCAATGTCAGAGCCTATCGTGTTTCATTGTCCCGAAGTCCATCCAAAAAGGCTTGAACCGCTAATCGTTCCATAACGGTCGTTGGAGTAGCTGGATATGCTAGCCGGACCAAGCGTCCAATATCAGCCTCGAATTCTTGCAAAGTCTCGTTAGATTTCTGGCAGCGATTCTTCAGTTGGGAATGGTACACATGTTCCAGATGTGTCTGGCCATATCGCAGTTCCAGGTGTTTCACCAAGGCTTCGTAATCTTCTTGTTCGTTGGGAGAGAGTGTCTGCAAGATGTCCGTTGCATCTCCGCGTAAAGCCAGAGTCAATGCCGTAGCCTTCTCTTCTGGTAGCCAGCCATTTGCTTTTGCTGCTGCCTCAAACTGACGGATGTAATTTGTCCAAGAAGTTTTTCCATCGAACTGAGGTGGTTTCATTCGAACTCGGCTCCCCTCCAGCATTGTTCCTGGTTCCGCCAGCATCATGGGTAGATTTACAGCTGTCAGTTTACTATTTATTTCTTTAATTTTGACTTCCAATTTATCATCCAATTCCATCCTTACGTCATTCAATTTCTGTCCTACTTTCTCTTCTAATTCATTTACATTATCTAGAATCTTCTTTTCCAAATATTCTTTTAAATTTTTAGAATTTTCCAGTATTTTCTTTTGTAAATCATCCTTTAAATTGTTGGAATTTTCCACCATTTTCTGTTGCAAATCGACTTTTAATTCGCTAGAATTTTCTACCATTTTCTGTTGCAAATCATCCTTTAAATCTTTCAGTTCTTTAGAATTTTCTAGCATTTTCTGTTGTATATCGCTAGAATTTTCCAACATTTTCTGTTGCAACTCGTTGGAATTTTCTAGAATATTCTGTTTCAAATCAGCTTTCAAATTGTTAGAATTCTCTAACATTTTTTCGTTTAAATTTTGCAACATTAAATGCATATTACACTGGCCTTCAAATAAATACGTATCTGGATTTTCACCTTCCTGCTCCAACGCTTCTCGAAGCCGCTGCTGCAACACATTCTTTTTTCCAGTTGTATCACATTCCCTTTCTTCCAGCTCTCGCTTAAGGTCCGCCACTTTTAAGTCCATTAACGAAACCATTTTCGCGAACTTTCACACTAACCGCACTCCTGACACCAATTGTAACGTTTTTAACTGTTCGTAGTGTGAATAAAAACACGCACTGGTTAATTAACGAACTAAACTATTTATTTAATAACTTAACTACACTTAAAACACTATAAAACTAACTAAACACTTAACTACTAATTATTTATATCACTACTAGTTTATTTATTTGCACTTATATTTATTTATTTCTTCGCGCGTACCAAAGCTCAACTGACTGCTCTGTGTTGCTCCGTTTCTTATATATTCAGCGCCAAGGTCTTCTGGAACATTCCAGCGAGCTCCACTCTCTCGATTATTCGAGCGCTGAGTCACCGGCGATGACTCACCGGCAATGACTAATCGGCGATGAGTCATCACTCCGATATCCAGGGCGGTACTCGCTACAGTATAATAGTAACAGTAAAAATGTTACGAATTACTTAGAAATTTAATCAAATAATTAACAGTAGTTGACATCTGTTAATTTTTAAACACCTGTCATTTTTGGCATCTGTAATTTATTGACACCTGTCATTTCTCGATACCTGTCATCTGTCATCTGAAATTTTTGGAACCTGTCATTTTTTGACATTAACTATTATAATGAAGAGATCAGCAATATTCAACTTATTTCTCAAATATAAAGCAATATTTTTTTAATTACTAATTATTCAAATAATTATAATTAGCATCCATTATTAAATAGGCAGGTAGTTAGAAATTTGTAATTCTATAATTTAATTTTTTTTAAATTTGAATAAAAATACATAAATAAATTATCATTAATTGTTCCAATTGCGAAATATTTAAATAATTATACAGGGTATTTCACATACGTGGTCCATTAGAAGTTTCTGGAGGACGAAAAAAGATATTGATTTGAAATTTTAAAAGCGTTTATAATCCATTTAAGTTTATTTTTCTAAAATATTTTAAACAAAATGCTACTTCCGGTTTATCCGGAAGTGAGATCAACTTTTTTATTATAAATAGAACACCCCATATATTTTGACATAAAATTCTGAAAAATATATGAGTTATTTAATTTGAAATAACAAAGTTGATGTCACTTCCGGATAAACCGGACGTGGCATTTTGTTAAAAATATTTTAGAGAAAATTTACTTATGGATTTTAAACGCTTTTAAAATTTCAAATCGATATTTTTTCCGTTCCCCATAAACTTCTAATTAGAAGTTTAATTAATGGACCACCAATGTGAAACACCCTGTATATGTACTCGTATAAAATGATTACATATATGTATGTATAATATACATATATATATATATATATATATATATATATATATATATATATATATGTAATTATTTTATATTCATATACAAGGCTGTCAGAAAAAAGTATCTTAGTTACTTTAGATTAACTTAGTTACTTTAAAGTATCTAAGTTACTGTATCTTAGTTCCTTTATTTTTTTAACAAAAAGTATCTAGTATCTTAGATAGTTTTTAAAAGGAACTGTATCTTGTAACTTAAAAAAAGTATCTTAGATACCGAAAAGTATCTTAGATACCAAAAAGTAACTTAGATACCAAAAAGTAACTTAGATACCAAAAAGTATCTAAGATACCACAAGAAAATTTCCTTTAGTCAAGTTAATAAGTATACTGGCGACTTGAGCGACTGGCGCCAATCGACTGGCGATATTTTAAAAGTGCCAAAGTTAGACACTTTTTGCATTAGACCCTTCAATGGTTTTAATCAACTAGATTTTATTGAAAAAAATTGTTAAAAAAGTAAGCTTAAAATTATTTGAAAAATCAGGGTGGGGTTGGAACGAATTTTTGTTGGGTGGTTTATATGAAACTTATTACATAATATACAAAGTAACTAAAAAGTATCTTATAAAGTATCTTAAAAAGTAACTTAAGATAAGTATTTAAGTTCCTTTTTTTAAAGAGGAACTAGATACCCAAAGTAACTTCGGATACTTACAGCTCATGAATCATATATAATTTTTAAATTGTATGAGTATGAGTATGAGTATAAGAGACGTATAACCGGCCCCATTGCCTCATCGCTCCCGGGCCCCGCATAGACCTCTGTTTCCTTTCGCCACCAGCAACGGCGCGGCTTCACCCGTGTTTGCTGGTTGCGAATGTCCATTGCGTCCCGTACTGTCCCCTATTTAGGGCTCGAGGACAAAATGTCAATAGTTTTAGTAGCCATTCCCGGGTTCGCCGAGCCGATGCTATACGCCCAGAAGGGTCATGAAGGAGGTAGGACGGGAGGGATAGACAGTTTGGTGTTTGGGGGACAATTACTCCGACTCAAATCTAAGTACGACTCGGGATCCCCCTAGACCGGGAAGTTAGTATTACTCCAAACATTTGGATTTACTTTTTAGAGTTGGGGAGTTGTTAGTTCCCTAGAGAACTAACAACTCCTGCAGCTGCAGGGGCAGGGGCCTAGTTTACTGGTCGTGGTCAACGTCTTGACCGTTATTGTCTCTGTCCGTGTCGGGTTGTTCCTGCATCAGAAGATATTTGTAGTATTTTTACTTAGCCTAAGTTTCTCTGCCATTTGTCAGTTACCGTTTATGTTTTGTGAGCCTTTTTAGTATCAACTTTAAAAATATACATACATAAAATGTATATACATTTTTTCTATGGTTACAATGCTCATGATTAAAGCATTAGGTATAATACATATTATTTATTTAATAATTACTAAATATACAACTACCTGGCAATATTAATTTAATGCATTAAATTAATTTTTTAATTATTTAAATTATATATTTTCATTAAATAGGTATTAAAAAGGAGAAAGTAAAACTGAAATTTTTTTATCCCCTTCAATGAAAAAACTTTTCAATGTTTTGCTAAAAAATAAATCATTCTAAACGTATGAATTGGATATCCTTTTCATGAAATGGAGATTTACCCATCCACTTGATGAAATTAACATTAAGCACATAAAATGCACAAAAATTCTATCCACATGATGAAATTAACTTTGAATACACTAAGCGGATCCATTTCATGAAGTGGACATCCATTTCATAAAATGTATGATTACATCAAGTAAGCGCGACATATACAAATCGATTAACCTTTAGTAGGTATTAGTTGCAGCCGCATTAACCGGCAAAGTGAATTCACAAAAAAATGGGGATCTTAATTTACTTTCGTATCTTAAACTAAGTAATTTTCGGAAAATGCCGATTTCGTTTCCATTGATTGAAATAAATTATCGGAACCTGGAAAAATACCGACTCCGAAAAAGTTAGAGGGTGTGACACCCCCCCTACACCCTTCTGGCTATGCCCCTGTTAACAAAGCATTATCCAAATCGTCCTACAAGGCGCAGTTTTGACATTAGACAGTTCTTTTAATGACAGTCGCCGTGTAATCCATGTTGCCTAATCTCAAATACAAAGCAACTTCGGGTGCGCTTAACCCTAATCTTCTTAGTCTTATCTTTTAAGACCGCGTATCTCGATGACTTATGATTAATTTCGGCGGTGAATAAGGGACCTAATCTTTCGAAACATCGCGTACGAGCTTTGCGTGTTTGCTCGCTGACATTTTAAGACGTTGACGAGACCTCAAAACACATCGCTCTGCTACAACGTTGTTTTTAAGGAAAGTGAATTGAAATGAAATGAGATGCGGGACTTACCACGATTTGCATGAAAATTCTAATCCCAGCAATTAGCACCACCTGCAACAAAGAGATGATTAGTTTTGACATTTGTTTAATAGGTATGTATGTACTACATACTATGTAGGTATAATAGCAGTGGCGTGCATACTAGGGTTATCGGGTTTAAATTTTAAAATCACAGGACCACACGTTAAAAAAGGAAAGGACACAAAAATAAGGAAGGACATTAAACTTAAACAAAATTTATTTTACATAAAAAAATTAAAAAAACTTTTAATTTCCACCTAAAGGCAAAAAAATGCATAAGATCCCAGACTGCAATGAAGGTTCGAAAATATTCCATGAATAATAATTCTAGAAATATTCATTTGGAATATTTCATAGAATGATCCTCTAAAACTTCCAAACACCATCTAAGAACTTTCACAGTAACTATTCATTGGAAATATTTTATAGAATGATCCTCTACAACCAAGCAAAAAATGTTCCTTATATTCAAAAAACAATAATTAATTTTCTCTTTGGTTATACTTTGTATTTGAATTATATCAACTGACAAGATTGTAGTTTTCAGTAATAGGTATAAACCACAGAGATGTGGTAAGAGACACATCAATGTCTTTGGGTGTGGTATAAATACTCTACAACCCAGCAAATACAAACGTCCTCAGGACGTCCTTGGACCAGCCTTATGTCCCAGAAGGGTATGATCCTATAAGGATGTCCAGAGGGCGTCCATAGATCGTCCTTTTGGGATATACTGATGACATTTAAGGATGTCCTTGGACCAGCCTTAATGTCTCAGAATGGGATGAAAATATTAATTAATTAAAAATATTAATATTATTTACTAAATAGGTAAAATGGCCAATTTTGAAACATAATTGCTACAAAAAATCCTAATACCAAAAGTTATAAACAAATATAGTTGCAGTACCTCTCACCGTTGCTTACGTACGCTTGATAACTATATATACCTATAGGTTAAAAATATCAGTGCGTCTGTGATGGCTAGTTAAGTTCCTGGGTATAAGTGGCCATAAGGGCTAGGAATAATCCCCAAATTATATTAAGATACATTCTCCTAACAATACTTAAGTCTTATGCATGCCGCTACATGTAATATTCTTTTTATGATGACTGGGTTAACCAAAAAGCGGATATTTGATTACACCAGGAATATTCCTGGGAATATTCTGGTACGATTGGAATAATTCTTGGAATATTCCTGACATGTCCTGTTTTGCGGTCTGGGATGACGCCAAGTTAAATAAAAAAATTATTCGATAAACCATTAAGCGTAAGATGGCGCCGAGTTAAGTACAATTTATAATTTGAGCATTTGTGAAATCCAGGACATTAGGGGTCCTTCCTGAGGTCTTCGCAGGACGCTTAAATTCCAGCCCCAAATCCAGTACATCCTGCGAAATCCAGGACACCTGGCAACCCTAGTGCATACAATACAAGCAAAAAAGCATTTCCCACCTTAGAAATTAAACATTAGTTAATTAATTAATTCATTTATTTTCAAAAATTATTTTCATTTTATGATGTTTGTAGACAAGCACAATAGGTATCGTTTATGTATCCAAATATACGCCGAGCCAAAAACACTGCGTGAACCAATCAAAATTCGGTTGTAGAAACGCACACCGATTTGGCACCAGTTTAAAAAATTATTTTTGCACAGTTAACTTACTCGCTTAAAAACAAAATTTAACAAATATAATATTCCAAATCCAATACAAGTTCCACCAAACTAAAAAGAAACCAAGAATAACATGTTTGCTTTTTAGAAATTTTGAGGGCCACCAACATTCTAAATTCGAAAACAAAAACATAATAAATTAAACGAAAAAGAAAAGGAAAGAGAATTACTTTTTAATATTGATCTTTGAAAAAAGATTTTTAGGTTTTTGCAAGGAACCATTTTGTTTAGTTAGGTGATTTTGGGACACAACTTGTCTTTACTCACAATTTTTAATCGTGACGGGCGGGACAAAAATTACCGAGTAACGTGGAATGCCCCTTCTACTAAAAAGGGACAACGTAATAGAGGCTATAGATCTTTTTTATTGAGATCTTTTTTATTTGCTATTGTTTTGAATTATGTTTTTATCTCCGTTATATGGCGCCGGATTTAAAAAAATAAAATTTTTTGGAATTTTTAGTTTAATATCTACAATTTTTGTATTAAACATTTTTAAGAAATATATCAACCAACAAAGAGATTTATATAAAAACAAAAGAAAGTCGATAATTCAAATAAATTTTTTTTTCCTTGGAAAAATAAGCTTTTTTGGGAAAAAATAATTATAATATAATTAAATATAACATTTTTTTAAATCCAATTTTTCAGAAAAAATACATTTTTGTATGGTTTTTATTTCGACCTTTAATTAAGATTGGTAAATTTTCAGAAAAATTGACTTATGCATTTTTTCCGAATTATCCGTGGTATCCATATCCGTGTATCCTACGGATAATACGAGAATAAATGCAAAAGTCAATTTTACTGAAAATTCAGTAAATAAAGCAAAACTCAATCTTTCGAAAATTTCACAATTTTTCCGGATGTTCCTTTTTTGTCGGCTCATTTTTTTCGGAAATATTTAAACACTAGTCTTGATAAGATAACCTCCATAATTACGTTGTTTCTTTTAAGTACAAACACCCTGTATATTTCAATTTATTAAAAAATGCCTACCTTAGTTTAAATGGCACTGCACGACACTGGACACAGGGTGTCCAAAAAATACCACGGTTATTTTTAGTTTAAAATGTTTTTACAAATAGTTTTTGAATTAAATTGAATTTTTTATTTTAATGTTTTAAAACTATGTAGGTATGTAGGTATTCATAAAATTTATATATATTTAATATAAATATAGAAAATTAACTTATTATGGTTTCATAATCTTAAAAAAGGTTTTTAAAACGATTTATTTAATAAATCATTATATTTTTCCAAAATATATTTATTTTTCTAAACAAAAAATCGCTTTTGTTTTTGAAGAATATTTAATTCATTTATAAAATTTATATATATTTAATATAAATATAGAAAATTAACTTATTATGGTTTCATAATCTTAAAAAAGGTTTTTAAAACGATTTATTTAATAAATCATTATATTTTTCCAAAATATATTTATTTTTCTAAACAAAAAATCGCTTTTGTTTTTGAAGAATATTTAATTTTATTCAAAATTTGCGTTGGCATTTTTCTATGAAAACAGCTTATAAGACACCTAGCGTTCCTAATTTTTAATGCTTAATGAAAATATGAATTAGTCTGAAACCCTATATAAAAATGAAAAATACTTCCCGAAAAACATTTGATAATGTAATTAATATACAGTTACAAATTGTTCTTAAAGATTAAAAAAAAACGTAAACAAATTTATTTACTTAGTTTATTACGAAAATGTGTATACAAAAATGTAGTAAAAATATATGACAACAAAACAACAAATAGTAAAGATGGTTGACAGATGTATTTTATGACAGTTTCTTTAAATCATCATAACTTCGTTTAAATTAATAAATTATTATTACTTTTTCTTAAAACATTGTAATGGTAAAAACTACAATGCATTGTTTTTTATTATTACACACAGAAAAAAAGGTTTAGTTAGCCCAACTATTATTTGTTTCATTTAACTAAATATGTTGTTTCAATAGAGCCAACCAAACATTTAGTTATTTTAACAACCGCATTTGGTTATATTTTACAACTATATATTTGGTTGAAACAAACATTTATATAGTTCAAGTGACCTTTACCTACCAGTCCAATGTACTAAATACATTTGGTTGAATTGACTAAATATAATTTGTTACCCTAACTAGGTTAACGGCTTGGTACAACTTACCCATATCGTTTGGCGCATTTATAAACCTAACAATAAAAATAAGATCTTGAAATGTTTGGAGTAGAAACATTTTTTAAGCCATTTTCTTATATTCTTCAAAAAACAGGAAGTTCCTTGACGCATTACTAGTATAATACCAGAGGTATTATTCCAGATAATTAAACCTTTACCTCGCTAGAGATAATGTTTTAGTGCGTTCCACCAACTTAATAAAATACTTCAAGTATTGACAGCTGTTTCCACCTATTCAAGGTCTCTTTAGTATCGAACAACTTGTAGTGTCACACCAAAGCAAAGAAGCACCTCACCTTATATACTCTTCATGTAAGTCAACAGAGGCGAGATTTAAGAACATCACGCGATCCACACCGCCTTTGCCGCGATCGGTACATACTATGCAACCAGGAATGCACGGCAAATGTTTTAATCATTTTAACAGAGTGCTTAAGGTTGAAGTAACTCTTATTTTACAAACAACATATTTAGTAAACTGAACCATACAATTTAACCAATTTAGAAAAATAAAATGACTATCTGGTTTAGTACCGTCCAACTAATCTTTGTTTATATTAACCTTCCCACGGTTGATTTAAATAAATATGGGTCAACTAAATTAATATAGTTAAATTAACCATTCCTTTTTTTCTGTGCAATTCAAATTGAAAATTTAAGACTCCATAGTAAATGCCATAAATTCGTAATGATATGATTGAACTGGAATCACAATAAAAATGTCTGCGGTGTAACCTATGCATTCCTATAAATTTGTCCTGATTGAAATTGATAAAAGGTCGATTTGCGATACGTTGCGTGACCCACAAATGCAAATCAAGCCAACAATTTTTGTTCAGTATTTATAGCAAGGTCTATGGTATATGGTCCATTTTTTAGATTTGAGCATTTTTGGGTAGTTTTTTTATATACTGTATAATAAATTGTTTGAATATGGCATAAGAGGAGATTGACATAAAAAAATTAAGTATTGCTGTTGTCAAGGTAAGTTGATTGTTCTGCGCATTAATGGTTAGTGTTTCCTAGATGACACAAAAAAAATTGTTGAATATATTAACAAATTTGTAACATTTGTTTAAAACATAAACATTTTTTTTTTTGAAATTTGCGACTATTTATTTGTTTTGTTTTTAATTATACTGCAGTCAAAATTATACTGCATGTCAAAAT